GGCGGGGAGAGGGAAGGCCGGGGGCGTTGAGGGGATGTAGCCGGGTGTCTGTCCGGCAAAAGCTGTGGGCCCTTGATGCAGACATTAGTTAGCGCTGTGCTGGGTGGGTGACAATGTCTTAATAACTGTTCCATCAGCCACTCGGGCTGCTGACCAGGTGCGTGTCAGTGGAGGAATGGCGGGTGGATGCACAAGGCCGGGCAATACCACGACAGCCAACTGAGGCGGTCACCACCTCGGCGTCCCTGTCACTGCCACCCCTGTCACACCACCGCAGTCACAGGTGCACAAGGGGAGCGTCTCACCTCCCCTCAGCTGAAAATCCCGAAGTTGGAGATACCGGTACTGCACGGGGATCCCTGATGTGAGGGTATTTTTGGGTAATCACTTGAAGAGCTGGCAGTCCTTCCCGCCCTGGGCGCGGGGAGAGCCTTGCAGTTGGCATTGTCTGATAATAGTAGTGCTGTAATCTCAGGCAGTCATGCCCATAAACAAAGCAAGGGCTTCTAGGGAGAGGTAATATCTTTTATTAGATTAGACCAGCTGATGTAAAGGTCAAGTCTTCAGGCACAGTTTCAACCCTTCGTGTCCCAGAATGTGATTTTTGAAGCTAGATCAGTTGCGCTAGAAATGTTACTACCTCTCGTACAGACCGTAGTATTTGCAGAGGAACCAAACTAAACCATTTTGTTTACTGAGCAGCTGAAGGATTCAGGAGGTTTCATGTTTATGGATTATTTTTTTTTCTTAAAGCTAATGATTTGGATTTATCAGATAAAGCAGTAAGAAAGCTATTTTTTCTTTTTTTTTGGTGTAAGATATCCTGTCTTTTGGCTATGTCTAATCACGTTAAATAAGTTTTTAGCAAGTTTCTCCAGATAATAACATATGCATGCTATACTTATGTTTCTTGCTGCTGACATGTAAACAGGTACAAACAGCAGGAAGATTTCATAATCTCACAATACATGTTGCAGGTTTATTTTAAAGAATTTAGCTGTATCTGCCTTTTGTTATATTCCTTGTCAGTGGCATGTTATGAGTATTGTTTTAAATGGAAAGGAAGTGTTTCTCACTCCCCAAATGAGATCTCTGGTTATTGAAATAGGAACTATTTTTAAAGAGAGAAAGCTGGCATTAAATATTAATATGCATAAGTGCTAATTATTTAGGGAATTAATACTGCAAGTAGTTATTAATTCCTGCTTTTTTTTACATGGCTAAGCGTGAAAAATCATGCATGTATCACTAGTCTGCAAAAGTAAAAACATCAGGCCTTTTCATTCCAAGTGCATTTGCAATTTCTTAAATCCATTTTTGTGTTGTCAATCTATGGTAAATCAGGCATATACTTGCCTTGTACCAGTTTAAGCAAATAGTACAGAGTTTCCTCAAAATCCTGATGAGTTTAAGCTACATCTTCTTCAGCTGTATCAGCTGTAGTACTTTCCAGTCAAAAGAATATAGCATACTTTTACGCATCTACATTCGAAGCAAAATGGTAACCTAAAAAAGACCAGGATAAATATCTGGTATTGGTATGACTCCCAATCTGATTTGTATTTCTACAATAGTGTAAAAGGAAGGGTATTTTATATTTAACATTAAAGAAAGCAAGGTAGTTACTGTAAAAAAGTGATAAGGGGGTATTTGTTCTCCGTTCACTTAATTTTGGCAGACAGACATTTAATTTGTATACAGCTACAAGGACTCTTGGTTTGACAGAATTACAGATGGATCCCAGACGTGGAATTTACCCTGTCTTTACACATAAGCCTTTCATGGGTTTGTGGTGCTCCTTTTGATCTGGCTTGGAACATGCAGTTCAGTGGTCCTAAACAATTATAGCTGCAGAAATATTGTATAAACTAGTTTTGGCCTCTTTAGCAGTGGCTTTGCAACTATAAATGGAAAATCATTCATGTGTAGGATGCCAGTTTGTTCTTTGATGTACAAATCATTTTTCTGTGCAGCGGTCCCTGAGCA